CCAGCAAATTTGTAAACTTTTGGGTCTAATGCTAAGTTGAAACTGCTAATTAAAATAGATATTCAATTAGAGCCCATTGTTGTTGATCAAACAAGCAAAAACGATCTACATTATGAGACAGAAACATGATTTTTTAGAGCAGTGTAACAGATAATATCCAAAAAAAAAGTTATCAGTTTTGACAGGATCAGTTTTGGGAGGGCCGACAGTATCAGTAAAATTAATCGAATAAAATTTTACTTTACTTAATTATAAAGAAAAGCGCAAAATTCTAAAAATTCACATAAATATTGCACTTATTTTTCTGATTTCTGTTGACTGAAGATTATTCATCAGAACCATTTCGAAGTAACTACGTTTCATTTTTCACTAATGTTCTAATTAAGTTTCGATTTGTACGTTTAATATAGTGCAAACAACCTAGTCTCGACAAATAAAATTTTCTAGCGGCCAAATTTGAAATCTTATGTAATACGGCCAAATTCAATATTTTTATTATATGCAGCCAAATTCGATATTTTCATTATATGCGGCCAAATTCGATATTTTCATTATCTATGTCCAAATTCGATATTTTCATTATATCGATATACAGCCAAATTCGATATTTTCATTATATACGCCAAATTTATTTTATATGTATAATGATGATACAAGAATATAAATATTGCTAGGGGAATGAGAATTCAGGAATTTGAGTTTACAACTCAGATGAATTTTCCCAATGATTGTCGTAACTAGTTACGACATAAGCTTTAGCTAGTATGACTTAAGCTGTAACATAATTGGGACGTCATTGGGACATCATTGGGACGTCATTGGGACGATTCACCCACACCTCTACAGGCATTAAATAATAAACTATTTTTCCAAAATCGCTATAAACAATGATATAATTCCAAGCGTATCAGAAAATTTATAAATGTACTTTAAATATTAAATTTCTATTGCACATTTACCTCCTTTTGTAAATACCAATATTTGATCTCTTTCCTTATATTGGTTTATTTATTTAATCACAACTCTTGAAATGCTTGAAAAAAATGCATTACAGCTCTTTTTCGATCGCTTTCTAATGTGTTAGTTATGCCAGTGACTTTGATATATAACGTGACTACTGAAATATCTAGAATCTAACTTCAACTGTAAAGTAATTTAAACCATAATCAAATAACAAAAAAAAAGATAAACTAAAATAAACAGAATCCTGAATAAGGTCGTATTAAGCATGTTCAGAACTATCTTTGAATTCATAAAAAAAGAAAAAGATTTAAGAGAAAAAAAAAAAAAACCCCCTATTACGCCGTTCAAAGTCCTGCTATATTAAATTTATAGAATTGTCTAACGACGTATCTGAAGGTTCAAAAATGACTGTAATATAAATAAATAATTATTAACAATCTGGTCAAAATTGACTCCTTGAGTTTCTTTGCAATAAAGTAATTTCATATAAAAATTAAAACTACCTTGAGCGATTGATTTGTTAGTAATAATATGCCGCGCCCAACAAACAATAAAAAAAAATCAAAGCAAGCTTATGAGGCAAAGGCACATAAGCATAATATTACTGTTAATAATTCTGAAGCAGAAAATTCCGATAACTTTTCTTATGATGAGGCGGTTGAGAATAACAATGCCACAAGTATTGTAAAAAGACTTCAAGCTGCAGCAAACAATTATTATAGCGATAATAATGTGCTAAAAAATTATGATAATGAAAGTCTTTTTGCTCATGATGAGTTAATTGAGATTGAGAATGATAATGCTGAAGGTTTTGCAAAAACACTTTTAAATGCAGCAAATACCTTCTATCGTGAAAGTGATTCTAATAAATCCTGTAAGCCGCGCTACTTAGGAAACTCTATCTGTACTAAAAGAAGAAAAAGACAGCAACAGCGTGAAGCAGCAAAAGGAATGCCTACATTGTTTACCTTTTGGAATCAAGACAAGACTGCTGAAGAAGATATTGAGGTAGAATTGTCTGATGATGGATGGCTGGATGAAGTCGATGAAGATGATACTGGAGGGCTATCAGAAGATGAGATTGAAACCTCTAATTGGTATAAAAAAATCTAAACCACACTTGAAAACATAACACTAGATATCAAAAATGAGAATGTAAATAGTGAAGTTTGGGTGCGTCTTAATAGTATTCGCTTTTATCTTCAACTTATAAAACACAATCATCAGAAAATGGAAGCAAGTAAGATAGTTGCAGATGCAGCAGGAAAAGGAGTATACCATGCTAGGTGTATTCGTTCTTGGTCACATGAGTATGTTATGACCCATCAAATTCCTTATTCGCGCCGAGGACACCATGCTAAAATATGGAGCTTTCTTTGGGACGAAGATATTCTTCTTCAAATCAAGTCGTATGTTCGAGAAAATAAGTGGAATATTACTCCACATATGGTTATGCTACAGATGAATGAAGTTATTTTACCAGGGCTCGGATTTGCACTACCACCAACCATTTCTCTTAATACTACAAAAAATTATCTGAAAGAGCTTGGTTATGTATATGAAAGAGTAAAAAAGGGTATTTACATCGATGGACATGAAAGAGAAGACGTAGTGGCCTATCGAAAAATATTTTTAGAATGAATGAATGAGCTTGAACATAGAATGCCTGTATTTTCAGATGAGGATATGGAAGTGGAAACCTGGCCAGATAGTAGTGTACAGCCGCTTATTCTTGTTACACATGATGAATGCGTCTTTTCAGATTATGATGGAAGTCTAAGTCTCTGGATTCCTGAAGAGGAACAACCTTTAAGAAAAAAAGGCGAGGGATGTTCAATTCATGTCAGTGAATTTCTTACAGATGTTCGTGGCTGACTTTTGCTTCCTGAAGAAATGCAACCATCAGATACGCTTTCTAGAGAAGCTTGTGTTATTATATGCCCTGGCAAAAACAATGATAGATGGTGGAAATCCGAAGATTTGATTGAACAAGTATCCAACCGTGCCATTCCTATATTTGAAGCCTGTTTCCCAGGATGTCAAGCATTATTTGCATTTGACAATGCAAAAAGTCATACTACTTATGCATCTGATGCACTTGTTGCAAAAAATATGAACCTTAGTTCTGCTGGAAAACAAGAAAAAATGCGCAGCACATCATATTTTCGTGGAGGATAAAAAATGATCAGGATATGGTATTTCCGTTGAATTATCACATCCCTGAATTACGTGGAGAGGCTAAAGGATTAAAACAAGTTTTAAGTGAGAGAGGATTGTGGCCAGAAAAAGGATTGAAATTACAAGAAACACGAGAATTAATGGGTCAACAGCCAGATTTTCTGGCACAAAAAGGGCAGTTGGAGGAAACCATTATTGCGACTGGGCATCAAATTGTGTTTTACCCCAAATTTCATTGTGAGCTCAATTACATTGAGAACTTCTGGGGTGCTGCCAAAAAATACAGCCGGGCAAATTGTAATTACTCATGGAAAGGATTACAAAAAACTGTTCCATTAGCTCTCGACTCTGTCCCACTCCCAACTATTCGCCGATATGCAAGAAAAGCCTTTCGCTATATGGATGCATATCGAAAAGGTTTAAAAGGTAAAGCGGCAGAATTTGCTGTTAAAAAATACCGCTCACATCGTCGAATTCCTGAATTTGCTTTAAGTTCAATTGAAGTTGATTAGTTGATGTTTCTTTTGCATAACAAATTTATTATTCATAAATTACTTACCCTGGTTGTGTTTTGGGCGAAACCCAAAAAAAGTAATCAAATATATTGTTATAATTTCTTTTTTTAGATTTCGCCCAAAACACTACATACATATAGCCTATCCCTTTTTTTCTGAGCTTTTTAAGTGTACATACATACGTACGTATGTAATTTTAAACAATAAATGATATGTATTTGAAGCTTAAATTATTAACTATACATAAGTCTGTGGTGCTAGGTTTTACAAATCTTATTAAAGTTCAATAATGGTATCGACCTGAACCGTGAACGATTTGATTTAAATATTGGACTAATGTTTCACTAATCAGATGCCTTCAATCACACCTTTAATGCGAAATTGATAATTCGAATAACTTTTCACATAATTGTATTGGTTTAGTATCAAAATTTGCTGGTTTAATGTTGCTTATCATTATAGACGGCAAATTTCTTGTTTTAATAGCATACTCATACATACAAAGGCGGCCAAATTATATATTTTAACCGTATATACAAAGGTGGCCAAGTTTTAGTAGGGTGGTCAAATTTAGTATATATAGGGCGGCCAAATTTAATATACATAGGGCGGCCAAATTTAATATACATAGGGCGGCCAAATTTAATATACATAGAGCGGCCAAATTGCTTGCTTTAATAATATATGTAGAGCGGCCAAATTGCTTGTTTAATTATAAAACTACCTTGATTTTAATTCTCTACTATTTTATTAAACCCAATTTTAAAAAAAATTTAAGACCACCAAGATGTTTAGTTTGGATGGTTTTAATGTTTTATGAAGAGATTTTTCAGAGATTGTTTTTTGTAAACAAGGATTAGTATTTTGAATTTAGTTAAATTTATTTGTTGGGACTAGGTTGTTTGCACCGTATAATTTTTTTGGCCGTAATTAATGAATTTTCAAATATTCTATATAACGAATGCTCAAAACCCACATATTAATAAAAGAAATTGAAACGTAGCTTTATTCTTTGACTTTATATAAGCAAATGGTGAAAATTTCAAATTAATTTCACGTCTTGGCGATAAGTTCGGTTTTAAAGCAATAGTCTTATTGTATTAAAAATTCAAAAAAAAATTGATTTGCATTTTGCGTAACGCAAAACTCTGCAATATGATAACTTAACTGACATAGTTTTGATTAAATAGTCGATGTGACACCTCAGTGTAACACGCTAACGTGCCATATAAAGGGCAAAAGTTCATTGATTTCGAAAGTTCGGGATAGTGGGATTCCCTCGATTTGTTGATAACGTACATCAACGTGGGATTCCCTCGATTTGTTGATAACAAAATAAAGGAAGTAAGCCAGTGTAGAGCAGAAGGGACCTTTATAATAAAACTAAATCGAAAAAATCTTCCACAAGTTATAAAAGTATATTTCGTCCGAACAACTTGTCCACGTGATTTGTTATTCGTTGATGCCAAAATTCTTTTTATCGTTACAACCATCTATTCGTACTCTCCTTTTTGTACCACTTTTACGTTGAACTCCTTTCATCCTCTTAATATCCCAAATTTATATTGCTGGCTGTGGAGTTATTCAATTTAGAAAGTCCTGTTGCGCCGCACTGGTTGAATAGTATTGACACTTTTCACGTAATTATTGAGTCAAATCGGTTAGATCCAAGAATTCTCCCGACTAATAGTTGCAATACCAGGAACAGAGTGAAGGGAAGAGTATGGCCTACCCGTGGGAGAAATAAAGTGCGAGTGCAAAACTTACATTTTATTGGTCTGAATTTTATTCGGTTAAACAGGTATTGAAAATTGAGGATAGAAATTATTAATCAGTCGTTATAATAAATTAGTAAAATAAAATTTTTATTTTTCTTTTAAATATGTATATATATACAATTCCATTTTGATAGCAATAACCGACTTCGTACTATTCTTTGTAAATATTCAATCGTTATACTATTATCGAAAAGCATTGCACGCGCATGATATTTAGAAGAGTGTTTGGAGTGAATCCAATGCAATATATCGGGAAAGAATTTTATTTAAAGAATGCATACATCAGTTGCTATTGATGTACAAACAAAAAACTGAAATCCCGGAGAATAGTAATCGAGATTGCGCCGGGTATCCCATAAGTAGAACAGCGGTGCAGCGCAACGTTGGCTGATGGTTTCCCGCCTGTGCAAAAATTGCCGGCCGACACAAATGTAAATAAGCAATTGCTAAGAAAATGACAAGAACAGCACTATTCTTGTATTAACATGCTGAAGATATACTTGTTCTTTGATTTTTTTTTTTAAGCATGTGAATTATTCTTGGCATAACCACGCCATTGCTATAAAGCCTGTTATTACATTGTTATGGGAGGGTGGGACAGAGTAGATGTAGAGCTTGTATTCTGGTCTGTTCATTATATATCGTTGCATTTAGCCATACTTAGATCGAATCTTGCTTGACCGACAGTAATTACCTCATAAGTGCCAAATCCGGAAGTCAATTCAATTCATGTCTTGTACGTACCTTAATTTATTCCACACTTTCTTTCATTGCTCCGGAATTTCCGAAGGAAATTCATATAACACTGCTTAGCCATCGTTTTGATCTGTTGACTGAATGTCAACTCGAAGGAAATTGAAGGTGGCTTAGTGGCTTATATGCATGTGAAAATGCATTACGTAAATACTGAAAAATTCGTGTATACTCATAGGACTTTGAGGTGTATACGTTAATTTTAGTCCATTCCCATATGAGATCAAGTCGAATAAGCTTAATAATTGGTCATCATTTAGCCGACATCATGCAGGTGAAATTTAGTAAAAATATACATATAGGCGAATCGGCGGAATTGGGCCTTAGCTAGAGACATAAAATTTTAAGTTAAACCCCATATTTCCTATATTTAATTGGTCAAATGTACAGAACAATTACTTTAATAATTTAAGCTATGCCTTAAAATAATTTTAAGGATATAATGGTTATGCATAATCATGCGTCTAACCCATCTCTTTTCTATTGGTTAGAACCCTACTTGGACATTTATTTGACGTTTGAGCCCTACTAAGACATATCGTTTGACATCAATTGTATATTGTTATCTTTAAAAGAGTGATTTGCTTTATATAAAAGAAATACTTTCGCTAATCATTAATGAGAATAACTTAAGATGCCTTTTAAATATGAGTTATGATTATCTACTTCTTCAAAAAATTTAATATCTATTTTATTTGTCTCTTGCCCAGCTTGTTTTCGAAAGTTTAAAATAATTGAAAGTAGGCAAGCGTAATGTCAAACAACCTGACCCTCCATAAATCTTTTGGGGTTTAAGTTCACTGTTGCATGGGCCCGCATGATTCCACATATTCGCCCATATGATACCTGCAACTAATCAAATGTTTAACCCTAACCTTATGTGATGTCG